GAACCTGGAGCCCATTATACAGAGCGAAGTAAGCCAGAAAGATAAAGACCATTACAGTATACTAACACATATATATGGAATTTAGAAAGATGGTAACGATAACCCTATATGCAAAACAGAAAAAGAGACTCAGATGTATAGAACAGACTTGTGGACTCTGGGAGAAGGCGAGGGTGGGATGTTTCAAGAGAACAGCATCGAAACATGTATATTATCTAGGGTGAAACAGATCACCAGCCCAGGTTGGGTGCATGAGACAAGTGCTCGGGCCTGGTGCACTGGGAAGACCCAGAGGGATCGGGTGGAGAGGGAGGTGGGAGGGGGGACCGGGATGGGGAATACATGTAAATCCATGGCTAATTCATTTCAATGTATGACAAAAACCACTGCAATGATGTAAAGTAATTAGCCTCCAACTAATAAAAATAAATGAAAAAAAAAAAATTTACATTCCCACCAGCAGTGAATGAGAGTAGCTTCTGATTAGCCACACCCTTGTCGACACAGCATATTATCAAACTTCTGAATCTTTGCCAATCTGATGGATTAGAAAAATATTTCGGTGTTGCTTTAATTTGCATTTTTCTTAGGTATGTGTGATACTGAACATCTTACATGCTTACGGCCCATTTGTTAGGGATAATTTAGACACACTAAATTTAAGTCTGTTTTACAAACTGTTTATCTGGTTAAACTAAAACTCTAATCAATGAAAATATACTTAAATATTTACTATTAGTTATGGAAATCATCTGACTTTAGAAAATACCTGACGTTTATTTCTTGTGAGCATTACCTAGCCTGGTTGTTTAAGTCGTTTGCTTAATTCCATATACAAACTACAATTTAACAAAATTTTAAAAAAGGAGAAAGAAAATATCTAGCTGTGAAGTGCTTGAATGTTATAAACTGACACACTTACAAAGGCCTTTGGAATTAGAAAATAAAGAAAAAGAAAAGACATCTTGTATCTAGGTCAGTTTAGTATAGAAAAGAATCCCGAGGCAGAGCCCTTGGGCTCGGGTGCTTCACAGGTGTGTGACTTTGGACGTGCCAACGAAACCCTGTGAGCCTCAGTTCCAGTACTTGTAACTTCTGTGCATGCGCCTCACTGAACAGGTACTTGTACAGAGGACCTTGTATGGGAGGGCTCCTCTAAACTCTAAGATAAAATTAATACTCTGCCTCCTGCTGCTCTTTCAGTGTGTGATGGCAGTCAAAGATATTAACTGCAAGCTGGAGAAGACTCCTTAAAGTCCCTTGGATAGCAAGGAGATCAAACCAATCAATTTTAACGGAACTTAACCCTGAATACTCATTGGAAGGACTGATGCTGAAGCTCAAGCTCCAGTATTTTGGTCATCTAATGCGAACAGCCAACTCACTGGAAAAGTCCCTGATGCTGGGAAAGATTCAGGGCAAGAGAAGGGGCAACAGAGCATGAGATGTTTGGATGGCATACTGACTCAGTGGACACAAGTTTGAGCAAACTCTGGGAGACAGAGTAGGACTGGGAAGCCTACTGTGCTGCGGTCCATGGGGTTGCAAAGAGTCAGACACAACTGGGTGACTGACAACAATAAACTGAGATTGGCTGATTTACGTAGAAAAAAGAATTTATTGAAAACACAATGAGTATGAGTAGATCACTGATTTTTTTACATTGTTGATTTTTTAAAAAAGGCTGTGATAATCTCTCTCATCTCTTGTAGGCATGCCCCTTTGCAATGTAATGTTCTGTAATGTTCCAATTCCTTGCATCAGCAGGTGTTTATTTCTCCACCTATCCGGGCTTGGCCATGCGACTTGCTTTGGCCAATGAGACATTAAAAAAAATGTGCAAGCAAAAGGCTAAAAAAGTGCTCATATGTTGGTGGCTTGCCTTCTTTTGGGTGCTGTTAGAATGGCAACCCACTCCAGTATTCTTGCCTAGAGAATCCCGTGGACAGAGGAACCTGGTGGGCTGCTGTCCACAGGGTCACAAAGAGTCAGACATGACTGACGCGACTTAGCATGCATACATGCATTGGAGAAGGAAATGGCAACCCACTCCAGTATTCTTGCCTAGAGAATCCCGTGGACAGAGGAGCCTGGTGGGCTGCTGTCCACAGGGTCACAAAGAGTCAGACATGACTGACGCGACTTAGCGTGCATACATGCATTGGAGAAGGAAATGGCAACCCACTCCAGTATTCTTGCCTAGAGAATTCTGTGGACAGAGGAGCCTGGTGGGCTGCTGTCCATGGGGTCGCAAAGAGTCAGACATGACTGAAACAACTTAGCATGCACGTATGCATTGGAGAAGGAAATGGCAACCCACTCCAGCACTCTTGCCTGGAGAACCCCAGGGACAGAGGAGCCTGGTGGGTTGCCGTCTATGGGGTCACACAGTCGAACACGACTGAATCGACTTAGGAGCGGCAGCAGAACCCTAAGAATGTGATGTCGACAAGCCCAAGCTAGACTGCCAAGAGACACAAGGAGGAGAACCATGGTGCTTCAGGTGAAAGTCTTTCCGACCTGTAGCTGGTGAATGAGGCCATCTCAGACCATCCAGTCTGGTCAAGATGGCAGACAACTGTGGTTTCAAGCCACAGAGTTTTGATTTATTATGTAGCAATAGATAACTAATACAGAGGTACCTCACACAATTATTGAAAAGGCTGGAAAACTAAGTTCAAAAGATGGACAGGAATAAGCTGAGGCCAACCAAAGGCTATAGCCCAAACCATGCGTAGAATTAGCCCAGTGAAGACATGATCAGCGCCGTCACTGTTGCTTGCTGCCCCAGCTTACGTTGCTGCCAAACATCCCTGCTACAGCGCACCCTGGAAGCGGGATACTGCTGTGGTCATTGCTGCATCAGCAGAATGGATTCTCAGATGTCATACTTCTTGCTGTTACTGCCTTCCAATTTATTCTCCAGCATGAAAACGACTAGTTGAGTCCAGACCGCTGTGTGCACCCTAGATGGCAGGGGCCTTGGCAATAGAGCGTCAGCTCTTTACAGCTTCCTATCAAGACTTCTATGGTGGGGAATTTCCTTTACCCAGTAAGTGAGTTTATATGCTGTGAAGCCGTAAAAAAGACAAACGCATAATGCAGTTCCTTAATTAATTCAATTCAGAATAACTACCTACATGCTAGTAAAGTAATGCTCAAAATTCTCCAAGCCAGGCTTCAACAGTATGTGAACCCTGAACTTCCAGATGTTCAAACTGGATTTAGAAAAGGCAGAGGAACCAGAGATCAAATTGCCAACATCCGCTGAATCATCAAAAAAGCAAGAGAGTTCCAGAAAAACATCTACTTCTGCTTTAGTGACTACGCCAAAGCCTTTGACTGTGTGGATCACAACAAACTGGAAAATTCTTAAAAGAGACGGGAATACCAGACCACCTGACCTGCCTCTTGAGAAATCTGTATGCAGGTCAGGAAGTAACAGTTAGAACTGGACATAGAACAACAGACTCATTCCAAATCAGGAAAGGAGTACATCAAGGCTGTATATTGTCATCCTGCTTACTTAACTTATATGCAGAGTACATCATGAGAAACGCTGGGCTGGAGGAAGCACAAGCTGGAATCAAGACTGCCGGGAGAAATATCAAATAACCTCAGATATGCATATGACACCAACCTTATGGCAGAAAGTGAAGAAGAACTAAAGAGCCTCTTGATGAAAGTGAAAGAGGAGAGTGAAAAAGTTGGCTTAAAGCTCAACATTCAGAAAACTAAGATCATGGCATCTGGTCCCATCACTTCATGGCATATAGATGGGGAAACAGTGGAAACAGTGGCTGACTTTATTTTCCTGGGCTCCAAAGTAACTGCAGATGGTGGTTGCAGCCATGAAATTAAAAGACACTTACTTCTTAGAAGGAAAGTTATGACCAACCTAGACAGCATATTAAAAAGCAGAGGCATTACTTTGTCAACAAAGTCTGTCTAGTCAAAGCTACGGTTTTTCCAGTAGTCATATATAGATGTGAGAGTTGGACTATAAGGAAAGCTGAGTGCCGAAGACTGATCCTTTTGAACTGTGATGTTGGAGAAGACTCTTGAGAGTCCCTTGGACTGCAAGGAGATCCAACCAGTCTATCCTAAAGAAAGTCAGTCCTGAATATTCGTTGGAAGGACTGATGTTGAAGCTGAAACTCCAATACTTTGGCTACCTGATGTGAAGAACTGACTCTTTGGAAAAGACCCTGATGTTGGGAAAGATTAAAGGCAGGAGGAGAAAGGGACAACAGAGGATGAGATGGTTGGATGGCATTACCAACTCAATGGACATGAATTTGAGTAAACTCTGGGAGTTGGTGATGGACAGGGAAGCCTGGCGTGCTGCAGTCCATGGGGCTGCAAAGAGTTGGACACGACTGAGCGACTGCACTGAACTGAACTAGAAAAGGAAGCAATAGAGATCCTACAAAACTCGCATTAAAACAACAAAAACCTTTAAGCTTAAGTGTGTTATGTAAGCAAGCTCCTCATACGGCATTAATAAGGCATTTGGAGTTAAATCATCTTGAACAGGCAAGTAGGAAAGCATTATTAAACTGAGACAAAGTTTTATTTTAATCATTTTCCAGAAGGATAACATATGCGTAAAAGGAAGCATATGACATTTGCTTTTAAAATTCACCACCACTTGGCCTTTGAAATACACTTAAATCCAAAGGGCAATTTAAGTCAGAGACATACAAAAGCAAACCAGCTATTTTAAGCACTCTAAAAAATATTGTTTCATCCACATACAATGCAAAAAAGGGCAAATCCAGAAAAACTATAGCCTTGACTTAAGATCAAGGATGCAAGATTTTATTATCTTAGGAATTAGTTAAGAAATCTTTTTTGAAGAAATTACTAACATCTAACAGTAAGAAACTGAAACCTTTCTTGATTCTAATGCTTTACAAAGGAAAGAACTTGATATATCAACATGACATGAATGAAAGATTAGCATGTTATCTGTATATTATCTCCTTTCTTCTCTTTACCTGAAGCTATGCTGAAGTAATGTTTGACGGCGATGGTCCCTGACAGCGTGCCAAGGACAGACAGCATCCCAAGTTTCAAGCTGTCATACGGAGTCTGCAGGGCACATTCACAGAGCGCCTGAAATGCACGAGAGAAAGGAACACAGAAGTTAAAACATCCATATACCTTAAGACTGTCTACTCACTGTAAATGTTCCAGCTTTTAGAAAAACTCTTTCTTCCATAAGAAAATACTTCAGTCAAAGCTGCCACAGCCAAGAGGAACCTAAGGAGACATTTTAGCTAAATGTAATGTTGTATCCTAGATGGATCTGGAACAACAGCAACAAAAAATGACACTGGGTAAAAACTGAAGAAGTCACAACAGAGCATGAGCTTTGGTTAATAACAATAATGTTTCAATACTGATTCACTGATTTTTAACAAACCTACTATACTCATGTAAAACATCAGTAACTGGGGAAACTGGTTGTGGGTATGTGGGAGTTCTCTGTACTACCTTCTCCTACAGATTTTTCTGTAAATCTGTACATGTTCTAAAAAATACAGTCTGTTAAAAAAAGTCATGATAAACTTTTTATTAAGGTCATTATCAATTATGTACTGCTTACTCCTCACAAGCAGAAGTTCCAACATATTTACCTTATCTAAGAGATATGAATATTAGCTGAATATAAATGAATATACGTGTGTATATACATGTGTACGTTTATACACACACACACACACACACACACACACGTATATATATATATATTTAAAAATAATTGAGAGTGTAGCATTCTATCTAGCTAATAAGTGAGTGGGCTGTCTCTCTGTTCTTCTCCATTTCAGGTCACTTACTCTATTCCTGACTAAGGTGCTCTGATGTATTACCAAAATCAAGATGCTAGTTTTTCTTTCACTGCAGTTAACCCTGAATACGTGCTTCTAGCATAGTGACTGTTGGCTCATCCTAGATATTTACTCTTGGGACTCTAACAATATATATATGGTCAAATAACTGTCCTGCTAAATTAAACTAATTCCCATTCTCTCACAAAGTTTCAGAAGATGAACAAAACTGAAAGACTAGGGAAACAAAAATTTAAATTTCATGAAGAGTTAAATAAGAAATTTAATATGACTCCAGTAAAAATGTCAACAAAATCTTGGGTGGGGGGAGAACTTAGATAACCTTTATCTAAAGATCATATGGAAAAATAAAAATCAGAAAGTATGCCAAACATTCTGACAAAGTATAATGACAGACAAAACCAGCCCTATCAAATACTAAAATATATAATAAATTTGAAGAAATAAAGTATATTTTTCCTACTTCATAGAAATTGAAAGAGAACTGGTCCCAGAAACAGATTCAATTACACAAAGAATTTAATATATGATAATGGTCTTTCAAATCAGAGACCAGGTAATAAACAGTTCAAGGTCAACTGGCCAGTCACCTGAAAAAAATAAAACTTGATTCTTTTTTCTTTTTTTATGGCAAATCAAAAGAAACTATAAAAGTACGAAGAGTTAACAAGGGAAAAGAAAATGTAAAATGATAATTGACAAAACTGGAAAGAAAATTCATATCATGTAAAGTCAACAAAGGTCCAATAATCTTTATATTAAAGTTCTTACTAATAGATAGGCAAATAACCCAAAAAGAAAAATCAGTAGTTCACAGAAAAAATTTATACAAATGTTTTTAAAATATGTTAAACTTCATTCATAATTTGAAAATTTTAAATTAAAATTAGAGTTGTTTTTTACCAATCTGATTGGCCAAGATTAAAATTTAATGATACATAACACTGAAAACAGTGTGGGGAAACAGGCCCTGTCCCACACTGTTGACAGAAAGGTGCGTGTGTGTGCGTGCTCAGCTAAGTCATGTCCAACTGTGTGTGACCCTACGGACTGCAGCTCACTGGGCTCCTTGTCTATGGGACTTCCTAGGCAAGAAGACTGGACTGAGTTGCCATTTCCTACTCCAGGGGATCTTAATGACCCAGGGATCGAATCCCCACCTCCTGCATTGGCAGGCAGTTTCTTTACCACTGAGCCACCTGGAAAGCCCTGATACAAAGGAAAAGGGTGTAAACCTCATCGACTGGTAACTGGCATTAAATACAAAACATTTTCCAGCCCTTAAATTCCTCTTTTGGAAATTTATGTTCACAAACGCAACTTTTCTTTTAAACAAACTAGTCAGTGTAGCAATATAAACAGCAGCAGTAAAAATACTGGCAGCAACTCTAACTTCCATTGATGGAGTACTGGGAATAAAGAGAGAGTACTACACAGCTGGTAAAAGAATACAGTAGATCTGTGTGCTAATATGAGATGTTCTCCAAGATATACTCTTAAGTGATAAAAAATTCTTAACCTGCATAGAGTATTATTTTCCTTTGTACAGAAAAAAGATGGGACACACACATACTTGCATGTGGATAAAGAAATTCAGGAAGGATACCTAAGAAACTAGTAACAGTGATCATCTCTACAGAGGGAAGACACTTATATATTGCTCACTGTGCACCTATGAACTGCTTTTTAAAAATACAGAAATCATGTGCATGTAATACTTTTTCAATTGAAAGAAAAACTTAGTTAATAACAGAAACACCATCAGCAGCAAACACTACTGTCGAAAGCATGGAAATGGACTTGAAACACAAAGTAGGTTTTTGGTAATGGAAGGGAAGACAGTCTAGGTGATATAAAGAAGAACTGCGGCAATAAGGCCAGCATACGAAGTGCTTATTTGTGGTAAGAGGAGATGTAGCCAAAAGGGATGAAAGCTAAGACAGAGAAATAATGCGTAGGGAAGATTAGGCCAGATTAGAGGGCTTTGAAAGTTAGGCAGAATAATTTAAACAGGATGAGAGAGAGAAAATGAAGCCTCTGGAGAGGAATAACGTCATCTAGTGTTGGGAAGATTATTCTGGCAATGGTAAACAGAACAAGTTAACAAATAAAGTTGAGAGCTAAGGAGCATTCCTCTAGTTTATGGCAGTAATTCACCCACTGGTGATGGCCTGAGCCATCCTCTGAGAACAGAGGATGGATATGAGAGACACTTGGAAGGAGACTGTACATACCCAGTGGCAGGAGTGGAGAACAGAGGATGGATATGAGAGACACTTGGAAGGAGACTGTACATGAGGGAATGAACAAGAAGGATTCAATTGTTATTACAACATTTCAAAACTGATGACCAGAGAATGTTGGTTCCATTTACAAAGACTAAGAATTTATGTGGATAAATGACTGTTTGAGTAAGAACAGAAAATAGGAGGAGATTTGAAATCCAAAAAGCAGTATCTACCAGGTATTTGGAATCTGAGATGTAGCAGATTTTTAACTGGAAGACTTGCATTAGAATTCTGGCTCTGGCACTTACCATCTCCATGATCTGAGCCAATAATTGAAATCTTTGAGTCTCAACTTCTTTGTCTGTAAAATGGGGGTAAAGATTTACACAGAATTTATACATCTCTGGAAAAAAATATAAGAAATTAGACACTGGTTGCCACCGGGCAAAGGAGCTGAGTGGGTGGCAGAAAGGTGGGAAATATTTTACAATATATATAGCCTTTTGCTTCTGCTGTGTGCTGTGCTCAGTCATGCCTGACTCTTTGCAACCCCATGGACTGTAGCCTGCCAGGCTCCTCTGTCCATGAGTTGCCATTTTTCCCCAGAGGATCTTGCAGACCCAGGGATCAAACTTGCGTCTCCTGCATCTCCTACACTGGCAGGTAAATTCTTTATCACTAGCACCACCTGGGAAGTCCAGATAGCCTTTTAGAGCATCTGAATTTTGACACATGAGTGTCCTGGCATTAAAAGAAAGGAAGTGAAATTTAAAATATAAGAGGAGGTGACATACATCATCTGTGAGATCAAACAGCTACCAAGAGACAAAAAAGCACTCACAGCCTCTTTAAGCTACTGTGCTGGAGAGCAACTGAGCGCAGGTAAGTGGACTCAATTGTTAGAAGATGAACCAGCTGAGGTTAGGGAAGCTCTCAGAGGGGCAGAGAATAAATGGAAGAAAGCACGTAGACGGAACTCAACTCAAAAACTTCAACTCTGAGGAAAGGGAGCACTGAAGAATCCCAAGAAGGTGCAGTTCAGAGAGTGGGAAGAGCAAGTGAGGACAGTGAGGCCCAAAGAAGCCAAGAGAAGGGAGAGGCTGACAGTGTCATACGGACCAAAAGGAAAGATGGGAAAGGCAGAAAAAGGCTCTGGGTTTAGCAATAAGAAGAACACTGGTGATCTTTTAATTAACTAAGCAAAAGAATAAGGGGACAGAATTATATCCAAGTGTGTTACAGACAGAGTAGGGGATGAATCAGTACAGGCTGATAGAGATGCTGCTTTGAAGTTCAAAAGAAAGCTTTTTTAAAAAATGGTGATTGTTATTAGGTAAACACAGTTATAACTTATTTATTCAAATACTGAGACCACTTCCACTTATCTACTTTTTATTGCCTAAACTGGTTTGCCTTGTACTGTTTGTATCTAGGAATAAAATTCTCAATCAAATAGCCCCAGAGATTATGTCCTGTATTTACACATATTCAAAATTATGTATTATGATGTGCCCTATGTATAATAGAACAATTAACCTTTTGGAATAATCAAGAAGGTAAGAGAGACATATTATGTAAGATGATACTAAAAGTTTTAAAGAAGAAAAAGTTATCATTTAAAAAATTGAACAAAACATTAGAAAATCTTTTTAGAATTATTTACAACGTCATCTTCTAATTAGTGTCACGTTGCACCGTACTGGATATCTAAAATGCTCTCTGTAATGACACGCTGGTCTTAAAGGTCCGATTAATTCAAAGTAGTGGTTTACTGGGCTCATCAAAGCTCCCTAGAGATAGCACATCAGTCATATTTCGATGATAGACTCCGGTTCAAGTTTCTGTTTCAAGGATGTTACCTATTACAAAATTGTTCTTACCAGGACCGTTTTTCATATCAACCAAAAGGAAAAATCTAACTCTTCAAACGAAGGCCCCCTTTCTCACACACCACCACTGTTACTGTCACTGATTATCTGGTCTGAATTGCTCTCTCTCTAGGCTGGTTTAACTCACTGCTCAAAGGAGGCTCTGT